GATATTCAAATAGAATTTTAAAAAACATTACTTTGAACTATATAATTTAACATCCTCCAAAGAAACTAGTTTAATCCTATGCTTCTTCTAATGAAATTGATTTTCTCACAGTACATTTGTTTTGCAAAATAATGTTCTGCCTTGCTCAGTATAGAATTTCTAAAGGAATCTGCATATGCAAATCCTGAATTTCCTAACACTTAAAAATGGCTTACAGATCATCAAAGCCTTCACAGTCCCTTGTTAACTGTATTAGTGAGAGGGGACTTCCAAGCAAAAAGGAAGGAGAGTAAGTTCTGTGATGGATAGTCCTTCCAGCAGCATGCTCACTAGAAGAAGCCACTAAGGTGCCAGTGCCCAGGCTTCGACATGGTTAACCTCCTCCAAGGCAAATGAATTTGGAGTTATGCATCACTCAGGCAAGTATCACTGGATTGGATTTCCTTTGTCACAAGGTTCAAACATCTATTGATTTTCATTTGCCTTTTCATAACTGAAATCCAGAGTAATTGTTGCTCAATTAAAGATTTCCTTCTCTTCCCTCTAAATACCATCTGTTTGAAACTACTGTCCCCAACACACACACACACACACACACACACACACACACACACACACACTCACCCATGTGCACACACCCCACTGAATCACAGAGATGACACACGTAAGTTTAAATAATATCCTCTAACAACTCTGACCAATTGCTCATCTACTTTTGAGGATTTCATTAGCAGGCTTGGAAGAGTGATTCAGCAGTCGACAGCAAATATTTATAAAGTTGAAAATATCAAACATGCATAAATAGTTCCTGTAGAAATCTGACTTCCATAGTTTTGACTTTTAATAAATGTACCCAAGTTACTTCCTTTTTACACACACATCAACATTATTTATATCCCCCAGTTTAAAAGTCAGAGCTACCTCCATAAAATCAAAACCATAGTGAAATGTAAACTTTAATCTGCCATTAGTTATAACTTTTCTAATGTCCTTTAGAATACTTTTCTTCTTGAAAAATATATTGTACTTTACATATTTATGTATGAAAGGTGTCATACAACTATTACTGATCTTTCATCTTCTCTATATAAGTGATAATCTCAAGTTAACATAAAAAAACAACTCAGAGCATAATTTACTGTTCATCTTATACTAATTAAGGCATAATTACAAAAACATTTATTATTTTTTGAAAACACAATTTGGCAAATGTATTACATGCCAGCCAATCAACTTTTAGAATTAATATTTAGGTTTTTGGCCATTTAATGCTTTTATAAGTTACTATAATACAAGTTAAAATTTATGTGAATTTGGAAAATTGAAAAATCTATTTTGATTTATAGATTTCAGGGTTGTTGTTTTTTTAGTATTTAACTAAATATGAAAACATCAAATGACCAGTCATTTAAAAACATAAAGTAGAATTCTTAACCTATGTTATTACATAAATTATCAAGTAATTTTTTTCTTTATTGCTTTCACTTTAATTTTAATAAATTATCTTCTAAAGGTCACAAAAATGTGTGATTCCCTATGACATTACAAAGAATCACATAAAAAAATTATTAGTCTTTTTTAAAATGGAAAACTAAACATTCAACTTAAGGTCAAATCAAAAGTAACCCAACAGTTTAATATAAAATTTTACCTTAATATATAGTATATCCAAATATGGAACCTATGTAATTAAATCCAGGCATTAATTTCCAATTCAACAAATTCTTGATAGAAGAAACTACCATGTGATTTTAACCTTTTAAAATCTTTTCTGTTGCTACAGAATTAAAAATTGATGTAGTAAAAGCCTTTGTTGTGGGGAGGGCTAGAGGTTGGGTGTTTTTTTTCTTTTTGGTATTTAATTCAACTATACACAATGTAGTACATACAAGCAAAATACAATTGAGATACTGTTTTCTTTAACATTCCTATAGGAGACCAAATTCATTTGCATTGGAGAGAACACAATTACTGATTTTTAAGTCATGAAAGACAAATTCATAGCTTTTTCCTACACTACCTCATAGTATTCACACCATCTCAGTGAAAGCATGTCTAGCATCAATTAGTTATTTCCTAGAAGTGGGCAGAAATTGCATTTTTCAAAATTTTGTTTCTTACAGAATCATTCAACTTCAGTTACAAAGCACATTCAAGTTAGCATATGTCTTAGTTCAAAACAATTTATACAGTGTGTATACACACACACACAACTAAACACTCATGACATCAAAAATGAAATTTCTATCAAGGAAACTTCCACAGCTTTCAACAAAACTTTAAAGCCTTACCAGTTTGTTCATCATTGAGAAATCTTTGTTTCAGATATACTACCAAGAAATATGAATAGAGAAAAAAAGATTAAAAGATTTTTATTCAACAGAGCCTGAACTCAACTTAGAAAGAGAAATAGTTTGTATATGGTTCACATTACAATAATTTGAATCTAATAAAAATGAAATACATGTGACAAAAAGAAAAAAAAGTTTTCTATTTCTGAGTGACCTTAGAAAATAATGGTATCTAGTCTGTCTAATGTAACAGAGCCTATAAACTGATATACCAAAGACCCAATTGGTAAGCAAATGGCATGCCAATAATTTCATCACTTAAGATAAAAACATCTCCTCCTAATGACTTAAAAAAAATCTATTCATAATGTACATATTAAAACTGATTCTTGAGAACACAAAAAAATCAGAACAATATAAAGAGAATGAGCACTCAATTGGTGAATGATTATTTAAGTAAGCAAGCCATCAAAATGAATTGTTTTCCTCATATTTTCACTTCAACTCACACAAAAAACACATATAGAACTGACTTAACGCTGACAAATTTACTCCTAATGTGTTAATTTTCATAGAAATGCAACAAAAGAACACTAACATAGTCACCATATAATATAAAAGCTTTGGTTTCAAATGTCACACAGTACCCTGCTTTTTGAAAGCCACCACCGTGGTAGTGTCCTGTACATGAGAACACACAGCTGCTCCATCCCAGGAGTCTGAGCTCAGAGCATACCACTCATTAGCTATCTCTCCCTTAGCCTGCAGTACAAGTAACTAATTTCTGCATTTTAAACTAATAAAGGGGGGAGGGGAGATTAAAACCATCCAATCAGCAATGATGTAACCCTCTACAGCAGCAGCTTATGCATACATTTGGTATGTCAGACATCTTCAGAGTAGTGATTCATACACAGCACATTTCAATCTGCCCCCTAGGTATTTCATATCGCCCACATGTTCAAAGAAACCATGCACTAATAGGGCTGTACAAGCCCTAGAATGCTCTTTATTTAACTAATACTAAAAACCTGGGATATGCTCTTAATTCTGAACTCTTATATAAACACCACAAAATTGTTTTAAGTAACACTCGATCTACCAGCAAACTATCTCTGCCTTTTGAACAACAACAACAAAAATGGTATGTTTGTGAGAAGTTTTAGGAGATACTAATAACTTTAGATAAACTGGTTTTCACTTATATTGCAACATGAAATGAGACACCAACTCACCAAAGTTAAAATAGCACCGAGTTTTACAAATTACAACATAAAAAAAGTACTCCAAACAGCTATATTGCCAATATAATTAAGCATTTGTAGAAACATAGCCAATTAAATACTTTAGGTGATTCTTTCAAACTTTGTTCAATATATTCAAATTTTCAAGTGTTGTAAGATTAGTAATTTAAACTTACAACAAATAATGTATCAGAAAGCTACTACTTGGATTTCTGAAGCAAAAAATAAATTAAAGAAAAGTATACAAATTTAGAATACATCTTTTCCTAGAGAACTAGCTTAATATTACACACAAAACTGCAAATCACAACTTTTACCTCTTTTTTTAAAAAGTATTAAGTAGTTTTCTGATATGCCACAGAATCGTTTGCAAACAAAAGATATTCTTGTTGCTTATTTAAGATAAAACATATCTGTAAACGTGCACACAATTTTTTAAATTTCTTTTAACAAAATATCTAAGCATTCATTAGATTTGGATAGTTTGTTTTAAAATCTATTTAACCCTGGCAAAAATCAAGTAAATGGTTACATTATTGAGAATCAGAGATTTTAAAGATAGTAAATCAAAGACTTAGATTCTCTCCAATTCAGCTACTTAATGACTAACGGTGGAAAAATGTTATGTGAATGGGATACAAACTAAGTTACAACACATTGAAGGGGGGAAAATCTAGAATAATAAAGGGTCCAAATTTAAAGTCCACAATAAACTTTAAAACAAAGATGTTGTTCATTCTCTCCTCATGGACAGACATTTCTCATGTAAGCAAATCACAGGAGAATTCCACCCTCCACAAACCTTTTTACTCCTTCATTAACAACAGTGTACTTAAATATAACTATAGATTTCATAGTGATACTTGGGTTAGCCTCAAACATATCTTAAAAGCAACAGCAACAACCAAGCGCTCAGAAGCAATATTCAGCAGTCATTACAATGACTACAAAAGTCTGGCTTTTAACTGCTATCCAATCCAAACATCCCACTTCTTTAGAGTACTATGCAAAATATTGGCCCCTTACTGAATTATTTTATTATTCAACATTAAGCTATCTAAAAAAAAGAAAACTAATTAATTGCTAAGTTTGGTTAAGCAATTTAGCTGACACAGTCAATGTTTACTCTTAACATCTCACAGGAAGTCTTGACAAGCATTTGTTGCCATTGTGCTGGGGGTAGGGGTGGGAGGCAAGTTTTGACAAACAAGTTCAACAGTCCCTTCAAAATTTAACACAGATAGAGCTCGATACACACACACCACTCCCAATAAGGCACCAGAATTTTCCAAGACCAGTAAACACCTTATATAATGAAAGTAAATAACGTAACTTTCTAAACTATGTTATAGCCAATACCAATGCCTTTTTACAAAATCACAAAAGCACATTTTAAAAAACGGAGTGCATTTTTTTTTTACTTATACGTTAAGCCCAATCACAAAATAAGCAAAAATGTATTTACCTGAGCTTTTTAGAGACTGAGTAATCAACTTCCATGATTTTCCCATGCAACTCCACTTTACCTTTAAAACAGAAATTAAAGCACTCAGAACCTTCCTTGCAGGAAACCGGCGGGGGTCTAGGAGGAGCACGCACAGAGCCCCACGCCCGCTCGGGGCTCCGCCTTCGGGCGCCCTCAATGGGTCTCCTACTGGCTCCAGCTGGGCAAACTTGGTTCCCAGTGGGGGAAGAAAAGATGGGCGCCCCGGCTCTGGGGGGATGAAATGGAGAGGGTGTGAGCCAGAATCCCACCCCAGGTAGAGCTGTGAGTTGCATTACCGGAAAAACAAATTTAATAAAGAGCGGCGCCAATTTGAAAGGATGAGCTCATTTGAAACTCAAGCTGCAAGGCTCGCGCGGCCGCGTTTCCCTCGGGCCCCCCACCTCTCCATTACGCTCCCAGGGGTCCCCAAGCCTCTGCAGCGCTCCCCTCCCAGCCAAGCGCTCCTCTGGGCACCCCCCCAAGAGGCGCAGGAGCCCCCCGGGGTCCACTCTCCTGCAAGAAGAGGCGAGTCCCCGCGGGCTTCTGGGTGTCACCTTGGCCTCGCCGCCGCCCCGCCCCCACCCCGCGCGCCGGTGGGGAAGGGGCTCGGGCCCGGCCCGGGGTCCTGGGGCGCAGGCTGGGGGTCGGGGGGCGAGCGCAGCCCCGGGCGGCGCGGGTGCGAGAGGGAGAGTCGGGGAGTGCGCGCGCGCGCGGGCGTGTGAGCCGCTCTCCGTCTCCCGTCTGGGCTCCGGCGCGCGCGCGGGGCCCCCCGGTCTCCTCTTTCCCGGTTCTCAGCCCGGGCCCCCACCGAGTTGAGACAGGGCACCTCGTAAAAAGGTGCTTCTGGCCGAGCGGGAGGCGGGGGGGCAGGCGGCGGGAAGCCCCCCGCCTCGAGCTCTTCTCAATAAAATCGGACAAAAAATTCAGAGAAAAATAAGAGCGCTTGGAGGGGGACGAGGCGAGAGGCAACGGAGGTTCGGGAAGAGGAGCGGAGAGAGAGGTGCCGTCGTTCTCAGGAGCTGGGGCTGAGGGCGCCTCCAAACTTCAGAGAGAGGGCCATCGGGACGGCGCCGACGGGGTGCCCAAAGTGGGGGGCGCGGGGCGAGGTGGGGAGAAGGGGGGGGTGGCTCAAAGGGGAGCGCGCGGCTCCGGGACGCCCGAAGGCACAAGGTCCTGGGCACGAGGCACGGGGAAGGGGGGGATAAGGTCCGATCGAGCCGAGGAGATGCAGGATTTTTGGGGGGTCCCTGACCAAAGGGGTGGACGAGGAGGTCGGTGAAGTGGGGGAACGGGACGGGGACTCTCTAAGGATGGGGGTGGGGAAACTCTGAAGAGCAAAGCTCGGAGAGCCGGGGGGGAACGAGGGGTGCCCTCCAGGGAGCGAGCGAGCATCGGGGACCCCCGGAGCCGCACAGGGGTCGCCCGTGGGCTGCTGCTGGGGGGGGGGGGCAAAGAGTGAGTCCGAGCTGCGGGGGAGGGGAGCGGCGGTCCGAGCTGAGGGTCCGGTGCGGGGACGTGAGCGCGCGGGCACCGGAGCCCCCGCCGGGCGCCGCCCGCCCGCCGGGCTCGGCCTCTCGGGGCGCCGTCCGGGCTGGAGCCGGGAGCGGCAGGGGGAGGGGGCACCCAGCGCCCAGTGCTCACCCGAGAGGGTCTCGATGGCGCGGATGGCCCAGTTCTGGTCCGGGTAGTCCACGAAGGCGTAGCCGGACTTGAGCAGGACCTGTCCCGCCAGAGGCAGCTTCCTGTCCCCGAAGAGCTGCCGGAGGTCGTCGGCGGTGACGGCGGGGCTCAGGTTCCCGATGTAAAGCTTGTTCATCATCCGCGTCTTCCCCCGAGAGCCCGCCCGCCCGCGGCTCCCCCGGCCCGGTACCCGGCGCTCCTCGCCTCCTCCTCCTCCGCTACCCTCGGCTCTTCTCCTCCTCCTCCACCACCACCACCACCTCCCCCCTCCCCGCCCTCCGCCCGCCACCCACCCCCACCCTCAGCCTGGCTCCCCCCACCGCGCCGCCCGGCCCGCCCGGGGGCAGAGGCAGAGGCTGAGGCGGAGGCGGGGACTCGCGCGGCGGCTCCCTCCTCGGGGCAGAGTCCCGGGCCGGGCGGGCGGCGGCGGCGCGCGGACAAAGCGCTCTCTCTGCCTCCCTCTCTCTCCCCCTCTCGAGGCGGCGGTGGGAGGAGGAGCGGCGGGCGGCGGCGGCGGCGGCGGCAGCGGCAGCGCACCCCGCGAGTGTCTGTGAGAGAGTTTGTCCCGCCGTGTGCGCCGCCGAGAGTGAGCGAGCGAGCGAGAGAGCGCGCGCCCCCTCCCCGCCCGCCCGGCGCCGTGCGCCCCTGGCCGAGCGCTCCGAGCGCTCCGCGCGCCTCACCGTCTCTCGCCCCGCGCGCGGCGGGCGGAAGCGGGGCTCCCGGGCGTCAGGACCCCAGGACCCCCGGCGGGCGCGGCGCGGAGACCGGAGGGCGAGCGAGCGGCGGGGCGGGGGGGGGGGGGGGGGCTCGGGGGAGGGAGCGGCCGGGCGCCGCAGACGCGGGAGGGCGCGGGCGGTGGGAGCGCGTGGAGAGGGCTGTGCGCAAGGTGGACCGGATGTGTGGGTGCCGGGGCCCGCGGGGAGGTGTGTCCCCGAGGTGAGAGGCGAGTCCGGGCGGGGAGACAACAACTTTCTCGCGGCGGCGGCGGCGGCGGCGGCGGCGGCGGGTGGGTCGGGTCTGGCGCTCGGCGCGTTGCTGGGCGGAGCGCTCGCTCCGGGACCCGCTCCCCGGCGGCGGCGGCGGCGGCGCGTGTGGTCGAGGGATCGCGCGTGGGAGTCGGGACGATCGGAGCTCTGGACCGGCCGGCCCTCACGTCCTCTGCGCCCCGCGGACGCTACCCCGGCCCTGGGCCTCAGTTTCCCGGTCCGGGTGGGGAGACGGGAGGCCAGAGCGGAGTCGCATCCCCTCCTCCGCCCGCACTTGGGGCGCCGGGGGTGGGGGTGGGGGGGGTCGCAGCCTGGCGTTGGCAGCTGCTCTCTGTTCTGGGAAGCGTCGGAAGCGGCGGGGCGCAACCAGGTGGAGGGCGGGGAGGGGACGAAGCTCGCTGCGAGGCCGGGTTCAGTCCCAGGGCCGGAGCGGCAGCGCTCGGGCTGGGTAGGAGTTCCCCGAACACGGGAGGGGCCGGGAGAGGAGAGGAAAAAACGTGACCGACGGAAGAGGCAGAGTTGGAATGAGAGCTGCCCGAGCCGAGGGTCTTGGGGAGGAGCCAGACAGACTGGAGACCGCTGCTGGAAGTCTGCTGGTTAGAGCCCAGTCCCAGCCAGGAAATGAAATATTACAAGAAATTAAAAAAAAAAAAAAGGCAGGATTCAGAGATGAAGGGACAGAGGGAGATTCCAAGAGTTGAACTTGAATCTGGGCGGGGGGCGACTTAGGAGAAGTGGTTTGACAGAAGATATGCCTTGTTCTGTTTTTTGTTTTTCTACGGCCTCTTGGTGGAGAAGCCACAAATATAGGGATGGGACAGATTCGAATCTCCTGGCTGGGTTGTGAAGTACTGCCTTTCCCAAGCTTTCCTATTGATGAGTGGGGTGGAAGGAGCATGGTTTCTTTAAGAAAAAAAAAAAGAGAGAGAGAGAGAGAGAGAGAGAGAGAGAGAGAGAGAGAGAGAGAGAGAGAAGCTGAAACCTGTTTGGCTCAGCGGTAGAGCGTTGGTCTATGGATTGAAAGGTCCCAGGTTAGATTCCGGTCAAGGGCATGTACGTTGGTTGCGGGTACATCCCTGGTAGGGGATGTGCAAGAGGCAGCTGGTCAATGTTTCTCTCATCAACGTTTCTAGCTCTCTATCTCTCTCCCTTCCTCTCTGTAAAAAAAAATATATTTTTTTTTTTAAAGGAAAAAAAAATAGTTCCTTGGACCCTGAAGACTGACTCTGTGACCGTGGATTTTGTAGTTCCCACAAGTACTGCCAAGTGATTCTTGTCCCGAAAGCACTGTCAGATGCAAGGCCTATCTGCTTAGGGCTCAGATCTTCCTCTTCTGTGCCCCCAGCCTCGTTTTCTGGCATGTTCCAGCATTTTTGAGCCTAAGTTTCCTCATCTATAGAAAGGATAGAACAACCAACTCTTGACAGGGTTGTTGTAAGGGCTACATGAAAGATAACTAAGTAGCCCTAACCGGTGTGGCTCAATGGATAGAGCAATGGCCTGTGGACTCAAGGGGCCCAGGTTCGATTGCAGTCAAGGGCATGTACCTTAGTTGTGGGCACATCCCCAGTGGGGGATGTGCAGGAGGCAGCTGATGGACGGATGTTTCTAACTATCCCTCTCCCTTCCTCTCTGTAAAAAGTCAATTAAAAAAAAAAAAATATATATATATATATATATATAAAAGGTAATTAAGTAGTGCATTGAGATGCAGTGGACATGCATTTGGTGCTTTTTTTTTTTTTTCTTTCCCCCAGAAACTTGTGAATTTCAAATACTTTCTTTTGGGGAAGGAGACTCCTTAAGTAATTATGTATCCAGAGGAGGAAACAATGTATTTATTCTCACCTAGACATTTGCAGCTGCTTTCGTTTCCAATATTCACATATTTGCTCTCTCTAGAAAAGGAATTGGGTTTTTACTGCTCCAGAGGTTGGGAATGGTCATTATTCCCCAAACTAATAGATGAGCTGGGTATGAATGCTTCCCTAGGAAAATGTAGTGGAGAATCACAAATGAAAGCTGCTGTGTGTGCATAAATTTCAGCAGACTGGGGGAGGGGACAACAAGAGGACAGGCTATCAGATTTTTAGCACGGATGCCCTAACTGGTGTGGTCACCTTTATATTTATATCCAGTAATTCCGAGCCCGAGAAGAGAGCGGCAGGGCTTGTTGATCTCATTCTTCTCTGGAAGTTTGGTAAAACTTTTTTGTTGTAGAATATTTTCAGATATGTCAACTCCTTGGTTCTGCAAAACCACAAACATTTTAGCATGGGTTCTCTAGTGGGCAGCAAGCATCTAAGGATTCTTGGCCGAGGTGGCTTCTGGTGAACTCTTCTACCCTGTTTCACCAGGTCACTTTCAAACTTTTTTTCCTGGGAAATAACTGCTCTTTGCTGTGATTTGCGTGTTTCACCCTGCTGGTGGTTTCTAAAGAGGTGCTGCAGAATGGTAAGGATGATGGAGGACATGTTTCCACCACACCTCTGAGTTGTAGAATCCTCACAGCTGCTTCTCCTAGGGCAGTGGTCAGCAAACTCATTAGTCAACAGAGCAGAATATCAACAGTACAACGGTTGAAATTTCTTTTGAGAGCCATATTTTTTTAAACTTAAACTTCTTCTAATGCCACTTCTTCAAAATAGACTTGCCCAGGCCGTGGTATTTTGTGGAAGAGCCACACTCAAGGGGCCAAAGAGTCGCATTTTGCCGATCATGATCCTAGGGGAGAGAGGAGGGTAGGGGACAACAAGAGGACAACCTCCAAATGCAAATCAGAAATCCAGAGGTCATGTCCCCTGCCTGACAAAACTTTATTTTCTATCTGTTTTCTCCTAAGTTCCCTTAACTCTCTCTCTTTTTTTTTTTAATGTATTTTATTGATTTTTTTCTTTTACAAGGAGGAAGGGAAAGGTTTTGAGAGTTAGAAACATCCATCAGCTGCCTCTTGCACACTCCCCACTGGGGATGTGTCCGCAACCAAGGTACATGCCCTTGACTGGAATTGAACCTGGGACCCTTGAGTCTGCAAGCTGACGCTTTATCCACTGAGCCAAACCAGTTAGGGCCCCCTTAACTCTTTACCTCGATTCTAGAGATGAATTGGAAATCAATCTGGACTAAATTTAAACCTAATAAACCAAGATTTTATAAATGTTCAACTGAGGTCAGATTTTGGAGAAATTCTTGTAGTAGGCACATTACTTTTGAAAGCATGTATTAACTGTCCTTTTTCTCAAGAGTTTCAAAGGTAGTACAGATCCTCCTGGTTTCCCAGTGATTCTTCTGGGCAGACATCTGTTACAGTAGCTGGGACAACATCTGTTAATACCCTGTTTCCCCGAAAATAAGACAATGTCTTATATTAATTTTTTCTCCCAAAGTTGTGCTAGGTCTTATTTTCAGGGGATGTCTTATCTTTCCATGAGCTAGGTCTTATTTTCGGAGGATGTCTTATTTTTGGGGAAACAAGGTACCACTTTGCAGGTAGGAAAACTGCAGAAAGTGGAACCGTTTCTTCATGGTCATACATAGGACTTGAAACTTGAGGAGCAAACACATTTTAGCTTCCCACGAGCCAGTGACATATGAAGGCTTTGTCTTGGACTTTGATGACCAAAACATTGCTGTCTGTGGACAGCGCTCCTCCTGATAGCATAACCTTCTGAATCTGCTAAACTGTGGTGGAAATGTTTTTGTTTTAACGATGGTGGTCATTATGGCCAGTGTTTCTAGGTAATATAAGGAGTGTTAAGGACAATGAAGCTGATTTGCTGTACTGTTTCATGGGGGGGGAAATTTAAAAAAAAAAAATATATATATATATATATATATATATATATATACACACATACATATGGTGGTATCAGCCCCTGCTTGCTCATGATTCAGTAGTATGGTAATCTCGTTTAGATACCTTTTCTTGCATTGGCAAAAGAGAAATTGTCTGACCTTAGTTGAGTTCATTCATATCTCTGAGCTTCCAATTCCTCACTTGAAAAATATCCCAACCTACTTCCTCCCTGTAAACTTTGTCTCTCCTGCACTTTTCTTGTTTTCCACGTACTGGGCCATCTCGCAGCTCTGTCCCTGTGCACATGCTGCTCCCTCTCCCTGGAATGCATTCATTCCCCTGATCAACTCCTGCCCC